ACCCCTTATCTCTGTGAACAGAAATCAGCTAATCACAGATTTCTAGTCAATGATGCTATGCTTATACAGAACCTGCTTTCCACACTGTAGAGTTAGGAACAGCAGGACAACCTCTGTCAGTTTAGATAATGCCACATAATATAAAAAAGGGCTGTTTTAACACAAACTAGGAGAAATCTTGACAGGCAGTTATTCTTGCTTTTAAATTGCTGCTAGAGAGAATGGCTTACTTAACATGTGTTGCTTAAATTTGTTGGAAATTGCAGAAAAAATTGATTGGGGAAGTTTGACTAAAAAGCTATATTCCTGAATACCAGATTTCTATGACCCATGTTTCCAAGGGTGGCTTGCCTCTAATGGACTTGCCTTGAATTTTTTTCCAGGCTAAAGTAACTCTGTCATACTCAGCACTGTAAGAATTTTGATCAATCACTGTCATGAGCTATAGTGAATGAAATCAATCCTTCTTGTAGTTACTGACACTCCTTCAAACATATTTCAACGACAGAAACAGAAACAACTACAAGGCTGAAGAAAGTTTGGGTTAGCCCTCTAAATTCCACACAACATTTCTAACTTCACATCTGTGATTGTGCTCTTGACCTGCCCTTTATCAGAAACGGAGAACACCTAAATGTTTTAGACTCCTTGCAGGGAATACAATCTACTGGATCCATTTTTCTACAGGGTTTCCTGACATGATAGGTAGTCTCCATTCCTCTGCACTGTAGAGTTTATCCTCATATTAAGCCGGACCATCAGAAAAGTATATATGGGCCGGGTGTGGTGGCTCATGCCTGTAATCCCAGTGCTGCGGGAGGCTGGGGCAGGTAGATCACCTGAGGCCAGGAGTTGAGAGGCGGAAACCCCTCTCTATTAAAATACAAAAATTAGCTGGGCATGGTGGCAACATGACTGTAGTCCCAGCTACTTGGGAGGCTGAGGCAGGAGGCAGAGGTTGCAGTGAGCGGAGATCGCTCCACTGTACTCCAGCCTGGGTGACAGAGTGAGACTGTCTCAAAAAACAAAAAAAAGAAGAGTATACATGTATAATCTAGGTCCCTAGAGAGTGTTAACTATTTAACTGAATTGTACTTCATGCCACTTCCTTATCTTTATCCAGAATCACATTAAGAGGCAGTGTTTACTACATTTGATACTGACATTTTCTACTGCATTTCGGTGTCCTATGTTACAAAGCTCTAAGTGGGAAAAAAGAAATCTTTTAAAGAACTATTCTCCAACCAAAAGAAACTAGTATAGCTTCTAAATTATGGTGTGGGGGCGCAGCATGGGGGAAGACTCCTAGAACTAAGTAAGCCCTCTGTTTTATAGTGTATGTATGTATGTATGTATTTGGCTTTGCCAAAACCAAATTCACAGCTCAGTGCTTGTACAACTGAAGAAGATCTCACAGACTACTTACTTATCTGTAATCTGTTATTCCTACTATAGAAATGTACAATTTTCCTACTACTGATTTTTTAATTTACTATTTGGATTTTTCCATTATGCATCAATTATAAGCCACATTAAATTATATGTGTTAAGAAATTTTGTTTAAAGTATTACTATTTTCATCCAGTATGAACATACTGCCAATTTCTCACTATCTAACAAAACAAGCCAGATGTGGTACCACGTTGCGGTCCTGGCTACTTGGGAGACCTAGGCAGGAGGATCCCCTGAGCCCAGGAGTTTGAGGCCATAGTGTGCTATAATCAGGCCTGTGAACAGCCACTGTACTCTAGCCTGGGCAACATAGCGAGGACCCATTTCTAAAAAACAAAACAAAAACTCAAACATTCTATATTTTTGCTTAACATAAACTGCCTCTGTTTCCTGATCATTCAAATTCCATCTACCCTTGAAAAACCAATTTAACTCTCTACTTCAAAATGTCTTCACTGACTGCTGTGTTTACAGATCACTGACCTTAAAAATTTATTCATTTAGCCTGTGCCACAAAGTTTAACGCTTAAAAATACACTATCCTATACTGTTTGATGATTTTGTGCTTTATTATCATTATTCCAACCAGATTACAAACACTTTGGGATATACTTCCTTTGTCCTAGGCTTGTGTGAAAAATGGACTAAAAAAATACTCAAATATTTGATAGCTACCACTATCGACTATGACGAAGCTTAAAGGCTTACAATGTATAGACGTGTAGGTACAGATGACAAGCTCACTATATTCTCTATGTATACATGACAACCTCACTGGGGAGAGGAGACAGTTAAAAAAACACACAATAGGCTGAGTGCGGTGGTTCATGCCTATAATCCCAGCACTTTAGGAGGCCGAGGTGGGTGGATCACTTGAAATCAGGGGTTCGAGACCAGCCTGGCCAACATGGTAAAACACCGTTTCTACTGAAAATACAAAAATTAGCCAAGCATGGTGGCGTGCGCCTGCAATCCCAGCTACTCGGGAGGCTGAGGCAGGACAATAGCTTGAACCTGGGAGGTGGAGGTTGCAGTTAGCCAAGATTGTGCCACTGTACTCCAACCCGGGAGACAGAGCAAGACTGTCTCAAAAACACACACACACACACACACACACACACACACACACCCCACACACACACACAAAATAAAGAACTAAAAATAAGTTCAGAGGAATTAAAAAAATACAACATTCCCATTCTAGCAGGTGTAGCTTAAAAATACGAATAAATAAAAATACAAAGTTACCAGTATATTTTGAGGCTAGCTCAAATGACAAAAGAAAGAAATAAAATAAGAAGACATATTACATCAGACAAATATGAGAACAGACCAACTGCAGAGATAAGAAGATAAATAGAGCATTTACTTATGGCAATGAATCATGATGGAGAATACTGAAAACCAGCAATGGAAAGAATAAGACCTCCACTATTACTTGCATGCTTATGAGTTTAATCTGTGACTGAATCCTAGAACTTTAGATTTGAGTTTATAGTCTGTAAAGGCTGTCAACTCTATCCTCATACATAAAGAATATGAGACTTCAGAGAATTTAATGACTGGCCCAAGTTCTAAAAATCACAGATAAATAACATTAGAAGCTACATATTCTGGTACGGACTCCCAGGACACATAACTGTAATTTTTGGTGCACAGTGACAAGGAATACATGAATGCTTTATCTGCCATCTGTCCCTTTTTGGAAAATCTGCATACTCAAAACATACATATATCCACACATCCAATCATACCACCACCATCCCACAAAGCAAATGACAAAAATGTCACGGTTGCCATACGCCTCACCCCACCAGATTAAAGAAAAGCAGCTGATTAAAGGAGAGCTTATTCTCATGAGACTAATGTGATGCTGATTACACATGACAAGTTGTCATACTTCATAATAAACCATGTGGAAAACCTAACCAGAAAATGTCTGCTGCTGTTAGGACACAAAGGTTATTTATTTAGCTGACCAATGACACAGATAGATTCAGTGATTTTCATTTAATTAATCCTCTCCACCTAGATTTTCTACAGCACAGAGCTATACAGCAGGGCCAATGCTGCATAAATCCTGGACTATAAACTGAGAGACAAATATTTCAAAGATAAACAGACTTTAGCACACTAAATCCCACCCACCTCAGTTTCAAAGGAAGTCAGGTGAGTCAGCAATCATATTCCAGCCCTGAAATTCATTCAGAGCTATCAAAGTGAACAGAAGATTAACAAGTTTAGCCAAGTTGAACGGACTAGACCTCCCAGAGCAAAATACTTTGTAAATCTATGGTTCACCAAACTAGAAGCACATTTAAACAACCCATAAAACACACTGAATTGTAGATTCCCAGGTCCCAACATGGAGTGTCTGGTTCTGTACGTCTAGGGTAGAGCTCCATGATCTTTGTTTTAGCAAGTATTCAGGCAATTAGCCTTGTAAGTAACACTCTAGACAGGCCAAGTAATTACAACCAAGTCAAAAAGGTCTATTGAACATATAAGATGGAATGGTTCAATTGTTCATTAACTAGCAAAAACAAATACCGCAAAGTATATCTGACTTGACCAGGAATTAAGAAACCAGATGTTAGGAAAAATAAAAGAACAAAAACAAACAAACAAACAAACAAACAAAACAAACCAGGGGCCGGGCGCGGTGGCTCAAGCCTGTAATCCCAGCACTTTGGGAGGCCGAG